CTAGTTTTAGTTTACCGAAAACATTTTAAGCATTAAAACGAAAGAAAAACACGGCTAAAAACTGTTGAAATGTTTTTCTCTTTCAGATGAAGCTTGATTCTATGGTTGAACGCAACGGTAAACGTAATCATATAGAACTTACATGGAACAAGAAATATACCAGCAGCGTCAAAGAATACTTATGGAGTATTAAACTGGATAGCCCTCAAGTAGGATATTTTTTGACTATGTGTGCTGCAGTAAAAAAATTTTTTTTCAGTAATGCAGAAAAAAAGTTGCAGAAGGATGGCTTTGCCAAAACTTTTCTGCCAAACTTATCTTAAAACAGTAACTGCCATGCCAAAATTTGAATCATTACTGTTTTTTCAAAAGCTAACCTAAAGCAGTCAGAAAGTGAAAAATCACTCTTTGCAGGGTACACTCAATGGAAAACAAAAGATTGAGATGGAGGTCCAAAAAATAGGAGTTCAAGCAGTATCTGACTTTGATCTTACAAAACCAGACAAAACCAAATATAGTTTAAACAACAATCTTAAGGTTAAATCTAATGGAGTTATCTCAAACACTAAAGCTCAAGTGAGTTTCTGTTTCTAATTGCGGTTTTATTTTGCCTTTCTATAGAGGCAAACAATTATTTAATTTAGAAGTATAAACAGTCCGTTATGTTAATGTTTGATTTAATAAGAAAATTTTTTTTATGTAATTAATTTAAGGGTCCTAAACTAGACTTTGGCCACGACATCGAAGTATCAATTTCAAACAGTAATGCAAAATTCGCGCAAAATGGGCATATAAATGATAAATCCTGCAAAGTTCGTACCGAAATTTCTCGTACTGCAAATGGAGCAAATATTGAGCTAAATATATTAACGTCCTTGAAGGAACTGCAGAAAGCAGAGGTAGAACTAGTTACTTTTTGACGTTCAGCAGAATAGAACAGAGTTTTAAAAACTGTTACACTTTACAGACTAAAACTTATAGCTGTTACTTCTGGGCAGCAACGATTTAGAAGCTTGCCCCTTTGAAATTGACTTTCTAACTGAGAACATAAGTTGAGACTGTTGGTTCTGTCGGTTGATGTTTAATTGAACAAAGTTTTTGCATGTCATCAACCGAGTATTTAGTTTGCGACTAGTGTTGCTCAAGATCTTGTCGATATTCGTGCAAATTATAACGACCAACATACAGCAAAATTGTACCTGAAAACAACCAAAAACGTGATCGAGTGCAGCTACGGACTCAAAATTGCTACCGTCGTAGACAGCGAGGGCAAAATGTTGATGCAAATGATGGTAATACACTTCAGTTAGCTGAGTTCTAAAAATAACTATAGGTACTGTCGCTTGCACAGTAAACTGACTGTTCAGACAAGAATTTCATTGGACAAAAGAAAGATGATACGAGCCAGTTTAAAAATACTTCAGTTTCTTTGGTTTTCAAGAAAATTAAATTATGTATCAGAAATTTTTCTAGCACCTGAATTTAACCAAAAAAGACCTAGGCGAAGTCTTACTGAGTATTTTGAGGGATCAAAACATGACTATGAGCTAATGGCAAGAAATCGTAATCGTAAATATGCCGTGGAATTACACGCTGCCGGTTCATCTGGTACTATAACAATCGCATACATGGACAGAGTACTGCTGAAAAAGAAGGTTATTTGGTTACTGAGTTATTGGCTCTAGAAACAGTTGATAATTATTTATTTATTAACTTTCACAATTGTTCAACTATTGTTGACAAGCTATCATTTTACCCCACAAATTTTTCAAGAAATATTGTTTCAGCTTATCGCCAAACTCCTAAACGAGCGTGAAATTCACTTAGTTTCTGAGAAAGATGGTAGTCTTGGAAATCTTGACTTGCAAGTCAAAAATGTTCCTGGACATCGTTCAATTAATCTTTTGGTACGTTACTTAATCGAGCTTTAGTCTAATCTTACCAGATTTTCAACAGAAAAAAGGCAATTTTCAAAGGTAGAATGTAAAAAATGACAGTAAAAAATGATATCAAGATTACAAGTAAAAGTAAGATTTCAATCTCTCTAACACATGTTTAGAAAATGGTACCGCCAAAACTTAAACGATTTACATTTGTCGTCAGACATCTCTTATTTTTGGCGACTATAAAAACATTTAAATATGGTATTAAACTGATGAGAGTCAAAAACTGCCATTTTTTATAATTTCAAAATGTTGATGTTGAGAATGACTGGAAATAGCAAGTTTTGGAAAATTATAATACTAAAAAAAAGATTATATGAAAATATCTTCTGTAGGTGACAGACATTCCTAAACCATTCCACTTGGTAATCAATAATCAGAACCTGCAAAATATGAAAATAGAATTGAGTTATGGCCGCGAAAAAGCGCAAAAGGTAAAATTTTAAACATCATTTATTTTGGTTTTTAAATCATGCATTTTCGGTAAAAAAACAAATTGCTATATTTTAGAAATACGGGTTGGAAAGCATGTACAGCACTGAAGGCTCTGTTTTTAAAGACTACAGTCTAACGGTGAATTGTCCATATAGAACTGTGCAGATGAAAATGATCCGTCATCAACCAACCAAGCACTCGATCATTTTACAGTAGGCTTGCTAAAGTCCAATAGAACAATATAAACTAATCGTTGAGGTTTCTGTCGATTGTGAACAGCTCTTAGAAATAATGATTTAATTTTTTACCTGTGCACCTTTGATTGAGCTTTACATCTGCAAAACTTATACTTTAATGAAAGCGAGATTTTTTACCACTCGTAAAATTAGTGAAGTGGGTAAAGTTCACGCTTTCAGAAGCTTTAAATTTTAAATAAAAGCAAGGTAGTGGTTTTTAGAAATGACCTGAATCACTGGCTGTTCACAGTTTAAGTAAGCTTGAATCAGCTGAGCACCTTTCTTAAATATTTCATATTGGGTGCTAAACGTAATGACACTGTCAAATCTAAAATATGGCTTGGAGAAAGATTCTGAAAAAAATGAATTTATTAGACAACAACTGACGACAAGACGTGTTCCGACCATACTTCAAATTACTTCCGAATTGGTACCTCATGGATATTGGCTTTACACAGAACTGTCAGACGAGTCGTTGAAACATCCGATCAAGCATAAGTTTGGTTTCGAAGGGAAAAGGAATAATGAATATGATTATGAACTACGTTTTGATAGCGAAGTAATTTTGCATTTTCTTTAGCACATGATAAACTTGTATTTTTCTGCCTTAAACAAGGTTCCTCTGTTGCAGTTAGATTATCTCGGTTCTCCGTCAAAAGCAGTTTTTTCTGCCGTAACTGTAACGCGGACCCCGATTGGCAGTCCAACTGACGGAGCACGGTTTACGGTGGAGATGAAGAGAGGTCAAAAAGGAAGGTGCTGATAACAATGTTTTAAACTTTTTTCTTTTTGATTTTTAATAATATACATACTCTGCCTTTTACAGTTTAAGGGGGTTCTAATTTTCACTAATATTAATGTACTTACAAAAAAAAATACTGAATACTTGCTTTTTGAAGCAATATGGAGGATATAATGTGGGCAAAAATCGACAGAAAGAAGGTTACAAATGTAATGGCGTTAGTGCACAGCAGTTTTGGATTCAGCCATAAAGGTCCAAAAACCAGTCTTATGGAATATTCTGTAGCTTCTGATTCTGATGGCAAAAGTTTCGTAGAATATAAGTTGTCATCACCAGATACAAAACTAAAGGCGAGGCTCGACAGGATCAGTGAAAAGCATTACAAGATTGGGTTCTACCGAGTAAGTCTGACATTTTGAAAGTTATATGTTAGATGAATCAAGTCTTCAATTTGCTACTTTGCATATTTTTGTAAGAGTAAAAGAGAGAGGAGAGGGAACGACAAAAATGTGAAAAGGAGTAAAATCTGGTTAAAACTAATTAACACTCAGCTGAACAAGGTTTCCAAAGTATGCAATGCTATCAGTCAATGGCAAAATTTGCTTTTTGTCGTTCTATATATTTTTTATACGTTTTTTCATTTCTTTCTTCACTTTCTGGAGAAAAACCTTTAAAAAACATTTTTTGTTGCTCTTATATTATAAACCATACAATTTTCTGAAGTTATAACTTGCTTACTTTTAAAACTGTTGTAAATAATTTGTAATAATTTTTATCGTATAATTTTAGAATAGTGAAAAGCCGTCTGTCGTTTGTGAGCTTAAGAAGCATAGCAAAGGTGCTGATTTTGAGATAAAAGATGAAAAATCGGGAGATGTAAAACTTCATATCAGTGCTACAAAACTCAATGACCGTAACGCACAGCTTGAGTTATGGCACGCATTACACGGAAAAAAAACTAT